TTTGAGCCAATCAGTTGTGTTGTGATAAGATAGGGGGGGTATGGGCGCGTGTGTCTCTCCTCATCCAGCACACGCGCCCATACCCTCCAATGTTTATACGCTGCTGCTCTCTAGATAATAACTATATTCCACGTTTATAAGATAGCCCTATTTGGTAAAAGACCAAGTCCATATAATGGCAAGAACAGCTCAAATAAGCAAAGAGAAACGACAGTCCATTATTACATTAGGACATGAAGGTCAGTCAATACGGAACATTTAAATAACTTTGATAGTTTCTTCAAGTGCAGTCGCAAAAACCATAAAGCACTATGATGAAACTGGCTCTCATGAGGACCGCCACAGGAATGGAAGACCCAGAGTTACCTCTGCTGCAGAGGATAAGTTCATTAGAGTTACCAGCCTCAGAAATTGCAGCCCAAATAAATGCTTCACAGAGTTCAAGTAACAGACACATCTCAACATCAACTGTTCAGAGGGGACTGTGTGAATCAGGCCTTCATGGCCGAATTGCTGCAAAGAAACCACTACTAAAGGACACCAATAAGAAGAAGAGACCTGCTTGGGCCAAGAAACACGAGCAATGGACATTAGACCGGTGGAAATTTGTCCTTTGGTCTGGAGTCCAAATTTGAGATTTATGGTTCCAACCGCCGTGTCTTTGTGAGACGCGTTGTGGGTGAATGGATGATCTCCGCATGTGTATTTCCCACCGTAAAGCATGGAGGAGGAGGTGTTATGGTGTGGTGGTGCTTTGCTGGTGACACTGTCTGTTATTTAATTAGAATTCAAGGCACACTTAACCAGCATGGCTACCACAGCATTCTGCAGCGATATGCCATCCCATCTGGTTTGGGCTTAGTGGGACTATCATTTGTTTTTCAACAGAACAATGACCCAATACACCTCCAGGCTGTGTAAGGGTTATTTTACCAAGAAGGAGAGTGATGGAGTGCTGCATCAGATGACCTGGCCTACACAATCCCCCGACCTCAACCCAATTGAGATGGTTTGGGATGAGTCGGACGGCAGAGTGAAGGAAAAGCAGCCAGCAAGTGCTCAGCATATGTGGGAACTCCTTCAAGACTGTTGGAAAAGCATTCCAGGTAAAGCTGGTTGAGAGAATGCCAAGAGTGTGCAAAGCTGTCATCAAGGCAAAGGGTGGCTATTTGAAGAATCTCAAATATAAAATATATTTTGATTTGTTTAACACTTTTTTGGTTACTATATGATTCCATGTGTTATTTCATAGTTTTGATGTCTTCACTATTATTCTACAATGTAAAAAAGAAAAAAGAAAGAAAGAAAAACCCTTGAATGAGTAGGTGTTTCCAAACCTTTGACTAGTAGTGTTTATAAAAAAAAATGGATGTATTTAATTTTCCATGTGGTTTATATTAAAGAGCACTTCGTTGAGTATAACAGGCTTTTAAAATTCTATTCAATATTGGTGCACAATTTCTACTTAAAATATCAAAGGGACACAAAAGGCTCTCATTTCACGGAATGACCCACCTGCTTTTGACCAGTTTGTGTGTTCTTTTGTAGTGGCCGGGTGCTATACAGTGTATGTCTCCTTCTTTCTTGGTCTGAATCATTTTAGTCTGTATGTTGCTGCTTCAAAGAGCCTAAAATAGCCCTTTAATTATAGTGCGGTGTGTGAGCTCCTCCATGGTTAGCAGCTATAAGCAGAGCCTGGCAGTATTTATAGTAAAGCTCTCATTGAAAGGAGCGCTAGCTAACTGGAGAGGAGAGGCTGGAGCAGCAGCATACATGGAGGCACATCAGAGGAGACCTAAAGGAGCTCTGAACCAGTCTTTCTTAACTGAGCCAAGCCCTGCTCCCTGGCCTGCTTCTCTGCTGCTCTGGCCCTCCCTCCCTCCACAAGCCTGACCCTGAGCTCTCCCACAACGCAGCACACGCACATACACACACACACATACACACACACACACCTAGAGCGGAGATGGGAGCTAGAGCGAGACATCACAGAGATGGGAGTATAGAACTCTTATAGCGGAGTGGCTAGCTAAAATCACAGAGAGACGGAACACTGGTGCTCTGTTTCCATAGAACCCATAGAAGTGACCTCGGCACATCACAAGAGTTCAACTGTGGAGAGACACAGACCTCTGCTGCCTCACCCACAATCAACATTTTATGGGTTTGCAGTTTTCCCTTTGGTCTGTGGTGTGTGTGTGTGTGTGTGTGTTTCATCTGTTGAAGTCATTAGACCTTCTCTTTGCTCTCATTTCTGTGGCATGTTACTCCTTCTCCCCCTTTCATTCTGGTTTAGTCTCTCCTCTTATGTAGTGACTTTAATGTCTAGTATCTTTTCATAATACCTGCTAAATCCGACAGAGACCCCTCATTAAGCCCCCCTACCACGCAGGCAGTCCGACTGGCCTCTGTGGTGACAGATGGGAAGTGCAGCCTGTCATAACAACTGGTAATGACAGTGGCGCTAATAATTTTAAACAACCCCATTCAAGCTCTGCAAAATGTTCCGTTATTGTGGTGAAACGTTCAAGTCACTAAGCAGGTACCCCGGAGGGTTGTTTGGGAGTGTGTGTGCCGGGGAGAGGTTTGTGTGTGTGTGTGTTTACGTGCATGCAAGTGTGTGTGTTTATGTGTGTGAGTGTGTGTGTTCTACTGTGTGTGTGAGTGTGTGTGTATGTGTGTGTCAACGGCAGAACTTTTCTGGCAGAGTAGAACCTAGCAGATGTGCTCTGGTCTCCCCTGAGGATCTCGTCTCTTCTCCTCTCATCTTGTCTCTCCTCATCCAGCACACGCGCCCATACCCTCCAATGTTTATACGCTGCTGCTCTCTAGATAATAACTATATTCCACGTTTATTCCCTTCTCCCCACTGCCTATCCCCTCGAGTTTCCTCTCCTCTCTTGCTCTCTTTCTCTGTCTCTCTACCTCCCCCTCTCTTTCTCTTTCTCTCTCTCTCTCTCTCTCTCTCTCTGACTTGTTGGCCTCCAACCCACCACTATAGTTCTGGTTCATTGCTATACCCTCAAACTAGGCCAGGAAGAAAGTCACATGACATTGTCACCATAAATCAGAAGTGAAGTCCACCCCTCCTGTAAGAGCTCAGGTTTTATTTTTAGAGGAACAGGAATATTATTCAATTCATGATATCACTTTACTGAGGCTTGTCTGACGTTTCGCACATGACTTCCTTTTGATAAGAGCGAGGCACGGTGACACGACAGGGAACACAGGCATGGATAATGGAAACTACACTGCATTTTCATTTCCACTCTGTCAGTGTCTTATGTTTGTGTTTTACTGCATAGTGTGTGTGTGTGTGTGTGTGTGTGTGTGTGTGTGTGTGTGTGTGTGTGTTGGGAGGGTGTGTATGTGTGGTTGTGCCTATTCATGTGTCTCTGTGTGTGTGCCACTTTGATGACAGAGAAAGTCATCAACATCCCACTGCTGCTGAACTCTGATAATTATGGCCCCAAAGGTTTTTAATTTGTGACATAAACATGTATGACGATTCGATGTACATTGCCATCTTCAGGTCAAGTGAAACGTGTGTGTTTCGAACTGTATTATCTAGGTACAGTGCCTTCAGAAAGTATTCACACCCCTTGACTTTTTCCACATTTTGATGTGTTTCTGCCTGAATTTAAAATGGATTAAATTGAGATTTTGTGTCACTGGCCTACGCACAATACCCGATAATGTCAACGTTTTTAGAAACGTTTACAAATTAATTAAAAATGAAAAGCTGAAATGTCTTGAGTCAATAAGTATTCAACCCCTTTGTTATGGCAAGCCTAATTAAGTTCAGGAGTAAAAATGTACTTAACAAGTCACATAATACGTTGCATGGACTCACTCTGTGTGCCATAATAGTGTTTAACATGATTTTTGAATGACTACCTCATCTTTGTACCCCACACATACAATTATCTGTAAGGTCCCTCAGTCGAGCAGTGAATTTCAAACACAGATTCAACCACAAAGACCAGGGAGGTTTTCCAATGGCTCGCAAAGAAGGGCACCTATTGGTAGATGGGTAAAAATTAAATAAAAAGCAGACATTGAATAACTCTTTGAGCATGGTGAAGTTATTAATTACACGTTGGACTGTGCATCAATACACCCAGTCACTACAAAGAAATGGTTACAGAGTTTAATGGCTGTGATAGGAGAAAACTGAGGATGGATCAGCAACATTGTGGTTACTCCACAATACTAACCTAAATTACAAAGTGAACAGAAGGAAGCCTGTACAGAATAAAAATATTACAAAACATGCATCCTGTATGCAATAAGGCACTAAAGTAAAACTGCAAAAAATTTGGCAAAAAAATGAACTTCATATCCTGAATACAAAGCATTATGTTTGGGGCAAATCCAACACAACACATCACTGAGTACCACTCTTCATATTTTCATGAATGGTGGTGGCTGCATCATGTTATGGGTATGCTTGTCATCGGCAAGGACTAGGGAGTTTTCTAGGGTAAAAAAGTTGAAGCTAAGCACAGGCAAAATCCTAGAGTAAAACCTGGTTCAGTCTGCTTTCCAACAGACACTGGGAGACAAATTCACCTTTCAGCAAGACAATAACCTAAAACACAAGGCCAAATATACACTGGAGTTGCTTACCAAGACGACATTGAATGTTCCTAAGGGGCTTAGTTACAGTTTTGACTTAAATCGGCTTGAAAATATATGGCAAAACTTGAAAATAGCTGTCTAGCAATGCTCAACTTGACAGAGCTTGAAGAATTGTAAAAATATTGTACAATCCAGGTGTGCAAAGCTCTTAGAGACTTACCCAAGTTTTCACTTTGTATTGTGTATAGATGGGTGGAAAAAATACATTTAATCTATTTTGAATTCAGGCTGTAACACAACAAAATGTGGAATAATTCAAGGGGTATGAATACTTTCTGAAGGCACTGTATGTGTGTTTTTCTACAGAGGTGCTGGACAGCATGGCCAGGTTCCGGGCTCTAGGTGTGTGGAACTACACCATGGTGACTCTAGCAGAACACGAGAGGGTTCTATATGTAGGAGCTAGAGAGGTCCTATTCGCCCTGGACCCTAACGACATCAGCAGACAACTACGACCTCTGGTAACTACACACAGACAGACAGACACACACACACACACCTCAGCACAGCAGACACCAACCACAGCTACAACCTCAACCCCATAGACATGCTACACGAGTGCAGTTAGTTTCTTGTGCAACATTCCTTAACTATGTTGAATGGAATTAAAATATTCTGATTCTGATGCCATTTGTTCAGTGGTGGAGGGGTAACAAAGTGATTACATGATTATCTATATGAATGTTAATCAATGTAATTATTCCATAAAAAGCTTAGTACAATGAAGGCTTGGTAAAACTTGTTAACATGCCTCTGTACCTCACATTTTATATCCACTCAGACATGTGCGTCTTTGAACAGCAGTATAGCGATTGTTATCTGATTTAACTTTATAATGAGCATTCATTGGATTGTTGTGTGATTGATTATGAACATCCAACAGTTCTGTGTTGTGAGCATCCCAGTAATAAGCAGCCCACCTGTTTGCTGCTGTTCTGGTGAGGTTTAGAGGGACGATAGGGCCACTGGATGCCAACTGCCTCATTATGTCCCACCTCTGCACCTATCTCACCATCTGCTGTGTTATCCTCTCATCTCTCTCTCTTCCCCACCATCTCTCTCTCTCCCACCATCTCTCTCTCTGATCCATCTCTCTCTCTCTCTCTCTCTCTCTCTCTCTCTCTCTGATCCATCTCTCTCTGATCCATCTCTCTCTCTCTGATCCATCTCTCTCTCTCTCTCTCTCTCTCTGATCCATCTCTCTCTCTCTCTCTGATCCATCTCTCTCTCTGATCCACCTCTCTCTCTCTGATCCATCTCTCTCTCTCTCTGATCCATCTCTCTCTCTCTGATCCATCTCTCTCTCTCTGATCCATCTCTCTCTCGCTCTGATCCATATCTCTCTGATCCATCTCTCTCTCTCTCTCTCTGATCCATCTCTCTCTCTCCCCCACCATCTCTCTCTCCCACCATCTCTCTCTCTCCCCCACTATCTGTTACTGTCTCTCTTCCACTCATCCCTCTATCGCTCCCTCTCTTAATCGTTCTCCCTCAGATTGAGTGGCCAGCACCACAGGAGAATAAGAGAGCGTGTTCTGCCAAGGGCAAGAACAACCAGGTACGGATCCTTCAAGTTTCTGTTTACATTTGAGTACCTTATTAGATTGAGTCGATGATTATTGCTATGAATGGTAGAATATTATGCTTCAGTCTTAGTCTCCTCTCCCCCTCCCACAGACGGAGTGCTTCAACTACATCCGCTTCCTGCAGAGCTACAACCACACCCACCTCTACACCTGTGGAACATACGCCTTCCAGCCCAAGTGCACCTACATCGTGAGTGGCTCTCAATGGCCGAGTCCCAAATGACAACCTATTCCCTTCTTAGTGCACTTAGAAGGGAATAGGGTGCCATTTGGTACCAACAAGGTCTCAATCACATCCTGGCCGTAAATCTGTGTCTTCATCCCACTCTGTCTGGAGGAGATATTGCAGTTGAGCTGTCCTTGTGGTGGTTTCACAGCTAGCAGCACCAGTGACATGGTGTCATGTCTTGTATCTTCTATCTGACGCATCCACACCACATCCTCCCCATACGGCTGAATCCTCTGTGTCAAAGGAAAGAATTTCCAATGCAAACGAGGCCGTGGTATCTGGCTCTACGTGTGTGTGTGTGTGTGTGTGTGTGTGTGTGTGTGTGTGTGTGTGTGTGTGTGTGTGTGTGTGTGTGTGTGTGTGTGTGTGTGTGTGTGTGTGTGTGTGTGCCTGACGGTGATATGATAAGACAGTGTGGCGGAGGCAGGGAGCAAGGACTGTGGCTCCTGTTAGAACTGTTGTCACGGACAGACAGAGCCTGGAGCTGTGTTAGTCATACACTGACCACTGACCACCTGTGTCTCTGTGTGTGTGTCTGTGTCTGTGTGTCTGTGTGTGTGTCCTGTTGTCAACCCACAGAATGCAGACCACTTCAGTCTCAACCCTGGCTCCCTGGAGGATGGGAAGGGCAAGTGTCCCTACGACCCTGCCAAAGGCCACACAGGCCTCATAGTGGGTAAGTCATGTATTCTACTCCATTCTACTCTACTCTATTTTATTCTATGTGTAAATGTTCTGTAATGGTGCTCATTCTGCCTGACTCTGTGTCTCCCAGACAAGGAGCTGTACTCAGCCACACTGAACAACTTCCTGGGTACTGAGCCTGTGATCCTGAGGAACCTAGGACAGCAACACTACAGCATGAAGAGTGAATACCTGCCGGCCTGGCTCAACGGTGAGAGAGAGAGAGGAGAGGAGAGAGAGAGAGAGAGAGAGAGAGAGAGAGAGAGAGAGAGAGAGAGGAAAATAGAGGAGGAATAGGGAGGACAGATGGAGAAAGAGAGAGAGAAAAGATAGAGAAAGAGAGGGAAGAGGTACAGTGAGGGGGAAAAAGTATTTGATCCCCTGCTGATTTTGTACGTTTGCCCACTGACAAAGAAATTATCAGTCTATAATTTTAATGGTAGGTTTATTTGAACAGTGAGAGACAGAATAACAACAAAAAAATCCAGAAAAACCCATGTCAAAAATGTTATAAATTGATTTGCATTTTAATGAGGGAAATAAGTATTTGACCCCCTCTCAATCAGAAATATTTCTGGCTCCCAGGTGTCTTTTATACAGGTAACGAGCTGGGATTAGGAGCACACTCTTAAAGGGAGTGCTCCTAATCTCAGCTTGTTACCTGTATAAAAGACACCTGTCCACAGAAGCAATCAATCAATCAGATTCCAAACTCTCCATGGTGGTCTCCGATGGCCAAGACCAAAGAGCTCTCCAAAGATGTCAGGGACAAGATTGTAGACCTACACAAGGCTGGAATGGGCTACAAGACCATCGGCAAGCAGCTTGGTGAGAAGGTGACAACAGTTGGTGCGATTATTCGCAAATGGAGAAACACAAAAGAACTGTCAATCTCCCTCGGCCTGGGGCTCCATGCAAGATCTCACCTCGTGGAGTTGCAATGATCATGAGAATGGTGAGGAAAGCCCAGAACTACACAGGAGGATCTTGTCAATGATCTCAAGGCAGCTGGGACCATAATCACCAAGAAAACAATTGGTAACACACTACGCCGTGAAGTACTGAAATCCTGCAGCGCCCGCAAGGTCCCCCTGCTCAAGAAAGCACATATACATGCCCGTTTGAAGTTTGCCAATGAACATCTGAATGATTCAGAAGAGAACTGGGTGAAAGTGTTGTGGTCAGATGAGACCAAAATGGAGCGCTTTTGTCATCAACTCAACTCGCCGTGTTTGGAGGAGGAGGAATGCTGCCTATGACCCCAAGAACACCATCCCCACCGTCAAACATGGAGGTGGAAACATTATGCTTTGGGGGTGTTTTTCTGCTAAGGGGACAGGACAACTTCACAGCATCAAAGGGACGATGTACCGTCAAATCTTGGGTGAGAACCAAGGCATTGAAAATGGGTCGTGGATGGGTATTCCAGCATGACAATGACCCAAAACACACGGCCAAGGCAACAAAGGAGTGGCTCAAGAAGAAGCACATTAAGGTCCTGGAGTGGCCTAGCCAGTCTCCAGACCTTAATCCCATAGAAAATCTGTGGAGGGAGCTGAAGGTTCGAGTTGCCAAACGTCAGCCTCGAAACCTTAATGACTTGGAGAAGATCTGCAAAGAGGAGTGGGACAAAATCCCTCCTGAGATGTGTGCAAACCTGGTGGCCAACTACAAGAAACGTCTGACCTCTGTGATTGCCAACAAGGGTTTTGACACCAAGTACTAAGTCATGTTTTGCAGAGGGGTCAAATACTTATTTCCCTCATTAAAATGCAAATACATTTATAATATTTTTGACGTGCGTTCTTCTGGATTTTTTGTTGTTATTCTGTCTCTCACTGTTCAGATAAACCTACCATTAAAATTATAGACTGATCATTTCTTTGTCAGTGGGCAAACGTACAAAATCAGCAGGGGATCAAATACTTTTTTCCCTCACTGTATGTAAAAAGAAAGTAAGGATAGAATGAGAGAGGTCGATGGAGGAAGTGAGGGAGAGGGGATGATGGAACTCTAGATATGGCGAAAGAGTTGGAGAGGGAGATGAGAAATGGAGAGGCTAAGGGGCTAGCTAATAGGACCTCAGAGGCAGTGAGAGATAGAAAAAGCAGGTAAGAGTGTGAAAAAGCCTGGTAGAGGGGTGAGAGGTGGAGAGATGAGGTTAGAGGAGTGGACAGGAGTGATACATGAGGGAAGAGGGGGAAGAGGTGTTAGAGAGAGATAATGGAAGATGATAGAAGGGAAGTAGATGAGATGAGGTTAGAGAGTAAAACATTAGTTCATGTGAGAGGGTATGAGATTAGGGGGAGTGGAGGTGGCAGTGTGTAAGTGCGTGCATGTGTTTGTGTGTGCGCATGAGTGTGACCGTGCGGACATACAGATGTAGGATCTTCATTTGATCACCCTATTGCATGAGAACTTTCCTGCACAGCAGGAAATGCAAACTTGTAGTGTATTCAAGGTTTAAAAAGGCTTCCAAAGTTTGTAATTTCCACTTTAAAATGATTTGTCCTAAAAAAAAAATATCAAACCCTCCCCCCAAAAAAGTTTATTCATTATAATCCACATAATAATTCACATTTCCTGTTTCTGTAGGATTATTTTCCTGCTGTAGCAAACTGGCTCAAATTAAGATCCTTAATCTGTACCTGTGTGTGTGTGTGTGTGACTGTGGGAATACGTGCGTGTGTGTGTTCATGTCTCTCATGCTCCTGTGTGTGTGTGTGTGTGTGTGTGTGTGTGTGTGTGTGTGTGTTGTCTTCTTAGAGCCCGACTTTGTGGGCTCGGCCTTGGTGAGGGAGAGCAGTGGCAGTAAGGAGGGGGACGATGACAAGATCTACTTCTTCTTCAGTGAGAGAGCTGTAGAGCTGGACTGTGACACAGAGCTCATTGTGGCCAGGGTGGCCCGTGTCTGCAAGGTAGGCTACACGCATATATGGTTAATTTTCAGGACATTTTTGGGAGTAAAAATAATCCTATTTTCCTTAGCCCTTAACCTAACTCCTAACCCTAACCTTAACCCTAAGCCTTACCTTAACCTCAAACCCTAAACCTAACTCTTAAGCCTAAAATAGCATTTTAACAAATTCAGGACATGAAAGAAAAAAAGTCCTGTTTTCCTACTTTGTCAGGACATTGTGGTGTATTGTTAGGACATTGTTGTGTATTGTTAGGACATTGTGGTGTATTGTTAGGACATTGTTGTGTATTGTTAGGACGTTGTGGTGTATTGTTAGGACATTGTGGGTACTGGTAAGTAACTGCTAACTGGCTATTTACACTGAGACACACACACTTCCGTTTTACTCTTTCTGACCATGTGTCTCTCCTCTCAGGGTGATCTGGGGGGCACCAGGACCCTGCAGAAGAAGTGGACCACCTTTCAGAAGGCCAGGCTGGTGTGTTCTCTCCCTGAGCGCCACGTCACCTTCAACAACCTGCGGGAAGTCTTCACCCTGCCAGGCACCGACTGGCGCACCACCACCTTCTATGGCATCTTCCACGCCCAATGGTGAGTCACAATAACACTAACGCCAGGGGGTTTGATGTGCCAAAGAGAATAGCGTTTGTCTGCTTCCCCAAATGGCATCTATTCCCTAAATAGTGCATTACTTTTAAACAGAACCCTGTGGGCCCTGGTCAAAAGTAGTGCACTATATAGGGAATATGGTGCCATTTGGGACACAGACACAATAGCACTGCCAGGGAGTTAGATGTGCCAAAGAGAATAGGCACTCTCTGTCCAATTTAGCACTTTTGCTAACACTGGCCTGGCGTGACTTCTAAGTCTATAAACTATTACAATTATTTTGAAGATATTATTTTATACCCGAAATTACAGTTTTACTAGCCTTGAGTCAGCTAATGTGTCTTCTCTGTGTATATATGGACTTCAGTGGAGGCTGCTGAGGGGAGGACAGCTCATAATAATGTCTGGAACGGCGCTAATGGAATGGCATCAAATACATAGAAACCATGTGTTTGATACCATTCCACTAATTCTGCTCCTGCCATTATCACGAGCACGTCCTACCCAATTAAGGTGCCACCAACCTCCTGTGATGGACTTTTCCAATTCTGTTATAGAAAATTAAGTTATTCTCTCCTAATAAAACACAACCATCATCCTATTTCTTCATATCCTATGTCATACAAACAGACAATGTAAAATGACTACAGAAACAACACACCTAGCTAATAACAACCTCTCCCTCAATGTGAGCAAGACAAAGGAGATGATCGTGGACTACAGGAAAAGGAGGGCCGAACAGGCCCCATTAACATCGACGGGGCTGTAGCGGAGTGGGTCGAGAGTTTCAAGTTCCTTGGTGTCCACATCACCAACAAACTATCATGGTCCAAACACACCAATACAGTCATGAAGAGGGCACGACAACACCTTTTCCCCCTCAGGAGACTGAAAAGATTTGGCATGGGTCCCCAGATCCTCAATGTTCTACAGCTGCACCATCGAGAGCATCCTGACCGATTGCATCACCGCCTGGTATGGTAACTGCTCGGCATCCGACCGTAAGGTGCTACAGAGGGTAGTGCGTACGGCCCAGTACATCACTGGGGCCAAGCTTCCTGCCATCCAGGACCTATATACTAGGAGGTGTCAGAGGAAGGCCCAAAAAATGGTCAAAGACTCCAGTCACCCAAGTCATAGACTGTTCTCTCTGCTACCGCACGGCAAGCGTTACCGAAGCGCCAAGTCTAGGTCCAAAAGGCTCCTTAACAGCTTCTACCCCCAAGCCATAAGATTGATGAACAATTAATCAAATGGCTACCCGGACTATTTACATTGACACTGCTGCTACTGGCTGTTTATTACCTATGCATAGTCACTTTACCCCTACCTACATGTACAAATTACCTCTACTAACCTGTGCCCCCGCACATTGACTCGGTACGCCCTGTATATAGCCTCGTTATTGTTATTTTATTGTGTTACTTTTGATTTTATTTGTTGCTTTAGTTTATTTAGTAAATATTTTCTAAACTCTATTTCTTGAACTGCATTGTTGGTTAAGGGCTTACAAGTAAGCATTTCACGGTAAGGTCTACACCTGTTGTATTCGGCGCATGTGACAAATAACATTTGATTTGATTTGATCATCTTAAACCCATCTTTTTGTTGCTCTCTCCTGTCCCAGGGGGGATGTGGATGTGTCAGCGGTGTGTCAGTACCAGATAGGGGAGGTGAAGAAGGTGTTTGACGGCCCGTATAAGGAGTACAGAGAGGGCTCACAGAGATGGGGACGATACACTGGCACTGTCCCCAGCCCACGGCCTGGAGCGGTGAGTGATGGATGGATGGAGGGAGAGTGGGGGAGGGAGGGTGGAGTGAGAGTGGGGAGGGAGGGTGGAGGAGAGTGGGGGAGGGAGGGTGGAGGGAGAGAGGGGGAGAGAGGGTGGGAGGGGGAGGGAAGAGTGGGGGAGGGAGGGTGGAGGGAGAGTGGGGGAGTGAGGGGGTGGTTGGAGAGTGGGGGAGGGAGGGTGGAGGGAGAGAGGGGGAGGGAGGGTGGAGGAGGAGGAAGAGTGGGGGAGGGTGGAGGGGAGAGAGGGGGAGGGAGGGTGGAGGGAGGGAGGATGGGGGGGGAGGGTGGAGGAGTGAGAGTGGGGGAGGGAGGGTGGAGGGAGTGAGTGGGGGAGGGAGGGTGGAGGGGAGAGAGGGGGAGGGAGGGTGGAGGGAGAGTGGGGGGAGGGCGAGGGGGAGGGAGCGTGGGGAGGGAGGGTGGAGGGAGAGTGGGGGAGGGAGGAGGGAGGGAGGGAGAGAGAGGGGGAGGGAGGGTGGGAGGGAGGGTGGAGGGAGAGAGGGGGGAGGGCGGGTGGAGGGAGAGAGGGGGAGGGAAGGGGGAGGGAGGGAGGGTGGAGGGAGAGAGGGGAAGGGAGGGTGGAGGGAGAGAGTTGGACAGGGAGAAGGGAGTCTGGAGAGCGATCAGAGCCAACAAGCGATGCCAGCCTGTCCCACAACTAACAACGTTCCTTGTTTCTTCCTCTCTCTCCCTCACCTCTCTCTGTTCCCTCTCTCTCTCCTTTCTGTCTCGTCTCTCCTTTCTTCTTCACGGTGCAGTGCATTACAAGCTGGCACAGGGAGAAACGGCTACAACAGCTCTCTTCAGCTGCCAGACGCCACCCTCAACTTTGCCAAGAAGCACCCTCTGATGGAGGAGAAGGCCCAGGCTCGCCCCCTACTGCTCACCAAGGGCATCAACTTCACCCGCCTGGCAGTGGACCGGGTCAGCTCCCTGGACCAGCGTGCATACAACATGCTTTTCATCGGCACAGGTAACTAACTATATGCAACTATATAACTATACAACTATACTGTTCATAGGCACAGATACAGTGCCTTCAGAAAGTATTCATACCCCTTGACCTTTTCAAAATGTTGTTGTGTTACAGCCTGAATTTAAAATGGCTTACATTTTTATTTTAAGTCACTGGCCTACACACAATACCCCATAATGTCAAAGTGGTATTATGTTTTTAGAAAATTGTAAAAATTAATAAAAAATGAAAAGCTGAAATGTCTAAATAAAGTATTCAACCACATTTTTTATGGAAAGCCTAAATAGGTTTGCGAGTAGAAATGTGCGTAATTGCTTAACAAGTCACATAATAAGTTGCATGGACTCTGTGTGTAATAATAGTGTTTAACATGATTTATGAATTAATACCTCATCTCTGTACCCCACACATACAATTATCTGTAAGATCCCTCAGTCGAGCAGTGAATTTCTAACACAGATTCAACCACAAAGAACAGGGAGGTTTTCCAATGCCTCGCAAAGAAGGGCACATCTTGATAAATGGGTACAACAACAAAAAACAAAAAAACATTGAATATCCCTTTGAGCATGGTGAAGTTATTAATTACACTTTAGATGGTGTATCAATACACCCAGTCACTACAAAGATACAGGCATCCTCCCTAACTCAGTTGCCGGAGAGGAAGGAAACCGCTCAGGGATTTCACCATGAGGCCAATGGTTACTTTCAAACAGTTACAGAGTTTAATGGCTGTGATGGGAGAAAACTGAGGATGGATCAACAATACTAACTTAATTGACAGAGTGAAAAGAAGGAAGCCTGTACAGAATAAAAAATATTGCAAAACATGCATTGTTTTTGCAACAAGACACTAAAGTAATACTGCAAAAAATGTGGCAAAGCAATTAATACAAAGTGTTATGTTTGGGGCAAATCCAATACAACACATTACTGAGTACCACTCTCCATATTTTCAAGCATAGTGGTGGATGCATCATGTTATGGGTATGCTTGTAATTGTTAAGCACTTGGGAGTTTTTCAGGATAAAAAGAAACGGAATGGAGCTAAGCACAGGCAAAATCTTAGAGGAAAACCTGGTTCAGTCTGCTTTCCACCAGACACTGGGAGATTAATTCACCTTTCAACAGGACAATAACCTAAAACACAAGGCCAAATATACACTGGAGTTGTTTACCAAGACAACATTGAATGTTCCTGAGGGGCTTAGTTACAGTTTTGACTTAAATCGGCTTGAAAATCTATGGTAAGACCTGAAAATGGCTGCCTAGCAATGATCAGCAACCAACTTGACAAAGCTTAAATATTTTTTTAAAGAATAATGTGCAAATATTGTACAATCCAGGTGTGCAAAGCTCTTAGAGACTTACCCAGAAAGACTCACAGCTGTAATCGCTGCCAAAGGTGATTCTAACATATATTGACTCAGGGGTGTGAATACTTATATATACTTATACTTGATATTTCTGTATTTCATTTTCAATAAAATTGCAAACATTTCTAAAAACATGTTTTAATTTTGTCATTATGTGGTATTGTGTGTAGATGGGTGAGAAAAAACATATATTTAATCCATTTGGAATTCAGGCTGTAACACAACAAAATGTGAAATAAGTCAAGGGATATGAATACTTTCTGAAGGCACTATAACTATGTACAACTATATACTGTTCATAGGAACAGGTAACCACTGACAGGGAATACAACATGCTCTGTAGGTACCTACCGATGATGAATATACAGTAGGTATGTTTATGGTACATTCTGACAGGGCCCAGATGAACCTTTATGCTCACTAATATGCTAGAGAAATTGCCCTGAACCACAATTTACTTTACCCCTAATCCCAAGAAAACCCTCAAGAAGACCCACAATTTACAAGAGATCAGTGTTCAGGCAGTTTCAAGACAACTTCATCCTACTCCAACTACAGTACTTCCCGTTAAGCAGCCTACTAGCTATTTATAATTCCACTCACTGCAATGCAGTGTAGAGTGTTTCCCTTACTGTGCCTGTGGTGTGTTGGAGGCCCATAACTGTCAGAGTGACGATGGACTCAGTAGCCTGGTAGGCCCCCTGCTGATGTGCTTCACAGCACAAACTCAACGGGGCCCTTGGCAGACGTACACACTGCCAGTTAGGCTGCCGGCTTGATTAGCTATTAACTGCAGCAGGACGATAGCTTATGCGGAGAGAACGAGTCTGGCGAGGGCGTTTAGAAACGGAGGATGGGATTGGGGGATTAGCTGAAATGCCCTGACACAACGAGACAGGAGCATGATGTGTGTGTGTGTGTGTGTGTGTGTGTGTGTGTTGTTGCTCTGCTCTGTGCCAGGCTCCCGTAGGTTGCAGGGTCAGTCCCTCACATTATCCGTAACAGTCCCACTGTGGTGAGGGCGGGAGGCAGGGCAGGCGCAGCACACACAGCACATCTCTGCTCATAAAAGCCTCATACACCCAGACAGACACACAATGTCACACCGCCGGAAGCAGCAGCTCAATCGCCTTTCAAAGCAGGGGATGTAACCTTGATCACAATACTACCCATATAGAAAACTACAGTACAATATTCTGACATTATATATCTCTCTCCTCTCATCTTACCTAATCCTTCCTCCTACCTTTCCTCTTTATCCCCTCTTCTCTTTTCTCTCCTCTCTTTCCATCTGTTTTCTCCTATCGTCCTACCCTCTTTTCTCTCCTCTACCTTTCCTCTCTTCTCCTACTCTCTTTCATTGCACTCTTTTATCTCCTTTTCCCCTCCCCCTCTCCTCTCCTCCTCTAGCGGATGGCTGGTTACAGAGGGTAGTGATCCTAGGCTCGGAGGCCCATGTGATTGAAGAGATACAGCTGTTTGATTCTCCCCAGCCAGTGGACAGCCTGACCATCTCTCACACCAAGGTAACACTCAACACTAGGCTAGGGTTTCAATAAATTCCCTGGTTTTCCAGAAATCCTGGTTGGAGGATTTCGGATTTCCTGCTTATTCCCTCCTGACTCCAACCATAATTTTGGTGAAACCAGGGAATTTATTGAAGGTTCCAGGAATTTTGCAACCCTACACTAGGCATAGGAGTTTCCCCCAGCCCTACATATAGTAGACTGTCACCAGGCCCAGGAGGTATCCCTGGTTCTACCCCATCATGGACTGTCTCTAGGGTCTGGAGTTTTCTCCAGCTTTACAGATTGACAGACCAACATTGTGTACTTGTGCATCAAGCTGCCTCACACTACAGAAACAGGAGATAGGGTCCTTCCCTATGGGCCGTTCTGGCTTGGACAAGGCTTACTTACACATAGACAATCACTGGAGACAGGAGTCTTCTCTGACCATGTGACTCCTGGCTCTACTCATCACCATTATCCCCTCAGATGACCATGTGACTCCTGGCCCTACTCATCACCATTATCCCCTCAGATGACCATGTGACTCCTGGCCTACTCATCACCATTATCCCCTCAGATGACCATGTGACTCCTGGCCCTACTCATCACCATTATCCCCTCAGATGACCATGTGACTCCTGGCCCTACTCATCACCTCTGTTTTACGACATTACACTCACATGTTGACTGGCATTACACTCATGCAGATCCTTATCTAATTAAACCAGGCTTTTCATGGCCAGCGATTTCATAACAAGCTTTTCTCTCTAGCAGAACAAAATGTTATTGTAATTTAAAGTGATTATCCTATTATCTCCGCTGCCCTCTCTGTTATTTTTCTATTTCCCCCCCTCTCTCTCCCTCTTTCTCTGTCTATGTCTGCAGAAGTACTTATACATTGGCTCGCGTTCAAAGGTGCTCCAGCTGCCCTTGGCTAACTGCAGCCGCTATCAGTCACAGCCAGACTGCCTTCTGTCCCGGGACCCCTACTGCGCCTGGGACAGCGAGGGCCGTGCCTGTGTCCGAATCGACCTCCACCGCGGGTGAGCATGTCTGCCTCTCCCCTCTGCCCCTGCTCAGGGGTTCTGCCTCCCCCTTCGCTCCCTCCCTCCCTCCTCCCCCTCTCCCCTCTGCCCCTGCTCAGTGGGCTGGGTCTTCCTGTGCCAGCAGCAGCTCAGTGGAGGCCTTTTAGACAGTATAGCAGAAAGACATGTTATTAATACCTGTTCTCTGTGCTCTCTGTTCCCACAGGTCTACCTCCTCCCTATCCCAAGATCTGATGCTGGAGAGATTCAGCAGGGGCAAAGCCAAGTTTGACAAGCCTGTGGCCATCCCCAGCCCTGGTGAGTGGGAAAGAGAAACTGGACTGGTGACCCCTTGTGGCAATAGGTGGTCACTACAGCTGTAGTAATTTTGATAGAGTTGTTGAATGAAGTTAAACTTAGAATTGAGCATTTTTTTTGTTGAGTTGAACAAAGAGTTGATAAATGAAATCTAATAGAGTAGAAGTGAATTGAACTGAATTGAGATGAGATGAGTTGAACTTAGAGTTCAGGAATTAAACATTGGCTAACACATAACCTCTCTCTCTCTCTCTCTCTCTCTCTCTCTCTCTCTCCCAGACCACTCTCGGCTGAGGAATGTGACAGTAGTGGTAGAATCAGACATGGTGCTTCCCTGCCAGCTGGTGTCTAACCTGGCCCAGCCCTCCTGGGTCCTCAACGACCGCGAGCTGCAGCTAGGAGACGAGGAGGCCGGGGGGCCACGCTTCGACCAGGCCCTGAAGGCTCTGGTGGTCCCTAACGCCATGCCAGTGCACGCGGGACGCTACGTGTGCTACTCCGAGGAGCAGGGGGTAAAGTTTCAGATGCAGCGCTACCAGGTGTCGGTGGTGGCAAGCTCTCCTGTGGTCATGGCGGCCCGGGCCCCTGACGGCAGCATGGGTCTGTTCTGGGTGTTAGTGATCACCCTGGGGGCCGCCTGTTTATTACTATTGGTGGCAGCTCTGTATCTGAGGAGACGTCTGAAGCTGGCCCTAGGTAAAGGGGCAGACATGAAGCCTCTGGAGAGCACCCTGGTCTACCCCATCACCCTGCCCAAGGAGCCACCCACTTTCGTGCCCAGCAAAATGCCCAGCGACGAGGACCGCTTCTGGGAGACGGGCGCCAACTACTACTACTCAGACGGCTCGCTGAAGATTGTTCCGGGCCACGCCCTGGGCCCCAGCAGCCAGTCTCACCACCACACCCCCACGGCGTCTTCCAGCACCATCCCCGGCCAGCCCATCCACTCACCCAGCCGGCTCAGCCTTACCAACATCAGGGGTTCCGGCAGCAATGGCTACATCCGCCTCAACCTGAGCTCGGCCGTGGAGGAGAGGGTTAGCGGGGGTGGTTCTGGGGGAGGAGGGCTGGGGCTTAGCGGGGGCGGGAACGACTACTCCAGCCCTTTCAAGGAGGAGCTGCGTCGGACCCTGCAGCAGAGGAGCGTGCTGCCTGATGCCAACCCTGAAGAGTCGTCTGTGTAGTCTTTCTACGCGCCCGTCATAATGAAAAAACAAAACAAGAGACAACGAACATCAACTAACCTACCTCCCTCCTTTACAGGACTCCTCTCACTCTTTCTCAGCTCCACTCTCACTCCATGCTTTCTCTCGTTTTCTGCCAATGCTCATTTGGCTGACTCTGTGACTGGCGGCAGACGTTTTTAACACACAGCATGTGATGTGACACACACATCAGCATCCGCTCCTGTTATTATTTTTATTATTATACGCCACACTGGCTGTCACATTTTAACTTCTTCAGCAGTTTAACTTGCTTTCACTGTGCAAATCTCAAGCTGTGTAAATTCTGTATTTAAAGACAATTGAACGCAGAGGGCCTACACCTCAAGCATGTCAGTCAAACAAATGGAGAGGTTTCCTGAGAGCACTGCTTCATGATAAGAGAGGACCAAGAACTCCTGACAAGGTTGTAGCTTCAGCGCTATACCAATAATCCAATAGTCAAGCAGCACAAGTTGACTGACTGAAAGATGGAGGAGCTGGCTTGCCTTTTTTCTGTTCTGTTGGGGACTTTTTCGCTTGTTGCACTTAACATGGGAGTATGGGAGTCTATTTTGTATTTGTGAGCAAAGGGAGTGAGAGAGTCACATAAAAAGACAAATTAATCTCAAAAGCAAGACGACAATCACGTTCCTCTCTCCGGGGGTAAAACCTGGGAAGGAAAGGGATGGAGAGAGAGAGAATGAAGGAAGTTTTGCGTGAAAGACATGGGGTTTACATGAAGGACAAACTCTCAATTAGACTTTCTCGGCTCAATTTGTACTTTTTTCACGTTGTCAGTCTTTCTTCTGAGAAAGTCTTCGACCCCTGCCACATTGATATATTGTGACAATTTAAATTAAGACATTTCTATGTGTTGTTTTTCAAAGTCTTACGGACTACGGAAGCGACAAATGGAGACCAATGGCTTTAAAGCACCCCTATGTGAATGAGAATGTGAGAGAAGCACGTACCTACCTCTCCTATCCCTGCACAAAGTAGATATCTCCCCAAATAACCTCCACACTAGTAAATACATTTTAGTACTACTTTTACAATAACTGCACTATACATTTACACAAGTGGTTAATGGGAATTTCAGTTAAACCCATTCAGATACTTATACACTTCCTTGTGATGTGATTATGGAAATGTCTGTTTGACATAATCCCACAACAGAATCTACAACAGCACATTCACTTATTATTCAGAATTTGAGATTAAATGAAGGCATTGCTTTCAGCCATGTAGTAGGGATGGCACGGGGGAATGTAGGTAAACTCTCACCAAACTGTTGCGACTGCAGTGGATGTCTCAACAAGTGCTTTATAATATGTATGTGTATGGGTGGGGGTGGTGGCGGGTTGAACTGCCAAAAGGAGCCCTCTCTCCCCTGCACTGCCCTGAATGCCAAACCTGGTGGATGTAGTAGTATGTCCTGGAGGGGGCGGGGCCATAGCACTGTACCTGTCCTAGACACACCCTTTAATATCCCCTTATTTCCCTAAACCTCACCCACTTACCCACATACCCACCCACCTCCCTACCTACCTACCGATGTCCAGAGAATGACCTGGCGCTACTGTGGAAAGCCTGAATTCAGAGAGAAGGATGGACACTGAACTGTAAACCCACAATGCCTGTGCTGTTAGATGGACAAGCAGACAACAGATGGTAGATAGATGAATGGCCTGTGACGAACCAACGGCTCCAGAGAGCGATCAGAGGCTCATCAATCAGAGGTATGGCTCTCCCTCGCTCTCTGAAAGCCTACAGACACCTATCCTGATCCCAGATCTGTTTGTGCTGTCATGCCAACTACTAGGTCATTGTTATGACTTGGCGTGACAATGACGTAGGAGTTGGCAAGACAGTACAAACAAATCTGGGACTAGCCTAAGAGACACCCAAAGACCTAGCCAGAAAAATAACTGCCACAATCAAGTTTTACAGCGTTGCATATACAATGAAATATACTGCTCCAGGGACTATATATCACTATGTGTGCCCACTCTAACCTGTTCCTCTTCCTGTGCTTTGTCTTCTAGGGGTGGCTTTGTGACATATCTGCAGGGACCAGAACAACACAACACAAAGGAGGAACAAGAGGAGGACAATGTTTATTTCTTTCTCTCCAAAATGTAGACTAGAGACAGCTGAAGGGGATATAGAATATTGTAATGATCCCTGGGTTGAAGAGGTACTTACTTACTTGGCCATCAGTGGTTAGTTCATCCTAGTGTTGCATGATCTTCTCTGCAAATGTACTGTACACATCTCTGATGACATGATCAGAATTGTAAAAGAAGTGTATAATGTTTCAAACTTTTGCAGATACTAATGTTTTCTACTAAAAAAAGTTGAATTAATGCTTAAGAGTTGTTAAGGACTTCTTTATGAATACATCCATCTTCTTAACATGTTTACTTTTGTTGTGCCTCTTCACCTTCGGATAAGCCAAAGTAGACTGCAGTTGCTTTTTTGAAAAGGGTATTATTTGATATTATTTTATTATTCCACTTCGATATTTAAGTTTCAACAATCCGTCCAACTAAACTTCAAAGAACTCTCATCTCTGGAACTTTCCTGCATATTTTATTTAGAGTTTTTTCTTCAGAAGGCAACAAGCTTGTGGCTGGTCAACATCCTGTTTAGATGTCAGTAGTAATCTACTGACGCCGATCCCTGACTTCATACCACATGAGAAAGTAAACAAATCATCAGAACGTCATAGGACCAACCAAGCAAAGCAACTTCCTTTTAACCAAATGATAACTCGTGATTTCATGATCTGAGGTTTGATATAAAATCTTAAATATTTATACATTGAATATGTATAGATTGAATATGTTACCAAGCACTGGTTCAGACACTTTACAATCTATTAACATTACCCTTAAGAGATTGCTGTACATTCAAGCTACAGGAGCTGTTAAGATTGGTATAGATATTTAACTGATTTGTCTTACAATTATGTATTACATTTTTTGTCATAAAACTGTCTTAGAAGAAAATTATCCATCAAACAAAAGTGATGTAAGGCTCAATCTAAAAAAGATATCTGCATGTGCGACCTGTGTGTAACAATTCTGGATCTACATAGGCTAGTTATTATACTCTGCCTGTCAAAACAACGCTTTCCACAATCTTCTCACCTAAGGCTCTTCATATTCTGCTGTTTTTCAATAATATTATTATATTACCATTATTATTATTATTATTATTAATTTCCTTTTTGGCTTTAAGTTGCAAAAGTTCCTCTGACTGTTTTTTTTTTTTTAAGGGTGTTAAGTAACTTATTTTGCTTGTAAAAACATGTCTATTTATTATCATTGTACATATGTCCTTATTTTTTATATGTGTGTATATATACATGAATAAAAGTAGAGATCTACTCAAATTGTGTGTGTATGTGCTGGGGGTTCATGCAAATGGGAACCATCAAACCAAGAGACTGGGTGTAAGCATAAACATCCCTGTTATCCAACATTCAAGGGTACAAAATTATATTATAAATTAAAATCAGAGTGAGCTTCAACTCATTAGTGAGATAACAGCCTGGGCATTCAGTGCATTAGAGGCAGAATGTGAAAAGGATGTAGGCCTAGTCGTATACTCTCACTAATTAAAACAAGTAGCTATGGGAAAAGAAGAGCTTTACCAAGGGTAAATTATAATTAACAGGAAACACAAACATCCCACCCATGTAGGAACTCATGTAAGATACCTCATTAAAGATTATTCTTTATCACACAGGGGAATTATAATGGTTATATAAGGTCTTCCTAAAGAAACTGAACCAATTTGTAACATTACACTTCAATTTTAGCAGACACTCTTATACAGAGTAACACAACATTTGGGTTAAGTTGCTCAAGGGAACATCAACAGATTTTTCACCTAGGGGATTCAAACCAGTGACCTTTCAGTTACTGGCCCAACACTCTTAACCACTAGTCTACCTGCCACCCTAACATCTTAAATGAGGCCTACTGGCCCTGTGCTTTTGGAGTCCTTTTTTGAACATGTCATTAATTGTATTATTCTATTAGGCTCAATATAATATTATATTAGGCCTGATATTAGGTCAAGTCATTATATTATCATAGGCTTTCAACTCACCTTGAGCAAAGCCTGGGAGCCAAGGCTATATTCTAATAGGCCTGATTCTATTTTATTAGGCATGATATAAGTCCTAGTCATCTATTCTATCAGGCCTATTCTCTCTCCAGATGCAAGGCCTGCATTACCATGTCTAGCATTCATCCAGTCTCCTCTTCCCTGTTCAGGTTGTACCTGCTGCTTACCCATATGCCTGGTGCTAGCGAAGCCACATGCTCTCAGTGTGCCAGACACACAGACCTAGCTGTGGGGAGTGAGGAAGGGGTGGGAGTGTGACGTCACAGTGTAACCAGCTGGGCCACAGAGAATGCTTTAATCTCCTCTTTATAGGTCACCAACTATGGCTATGTATGCTCTTACTCATCTCATCTCACATGCACACACACACACACAGGCTACAGAGAGAGAAATAAAGAGAGCAAGAGAGAGACAGAAAGAGAGAGAGAGAACATGACAGCCGCACATATGCCCAGGCCGTGAGCAGAGCAACTGGCCCAACCCCCACTAATGCACCCCCGCAAGTCCCATCCTGCGACCTAAGAGGTATGTATCAGATGCTCAACATGCTCTGCTCACACCTACTGTAATGGTCCGGGCCTAAACCACATGAAAACAACACTATGGAACACAAAGCTTTTACTATCTCATCCTGGAATATACAAGGTCTGAGGTAATCTGCTTTTGGCCTAAAGAGCAGGGACCCAGACTTCATCAAATACATTGGAAATACAGACATTATAATCCTACAAGAAACATGGTATAGAGGAGACGGACCCACTGGTTGCCCTCTAGGTTACAGAGAGCTGGTAGTCCCATCCACCAAACTACCAGGTGTGAAACAGGGAAGAGACTCAGGGGGT